GTTTATTAGAAAAAAAATGTATTTCTCCAAAAAAATTTTAAAAATGCACTAACTTTAGAATAGCAGTACTTTTTTCCTATAAGCGCCTTTATCTTCAAATAAAAAAAAATATAAAAGATCTATCTTTTTTTTTTAAATAAATATTTACATTATTCGGAGTAAAAACATTAATGTTTAAATATTGCTAACGATTTGGGATCACTTTTCTGTTTTTTGTGGTTTTACGGAAAACCTGACTTGGGTTAACTAAGATTTCATAACATAGCTACAAGCCTCATGGTTAAAATTTAAAACATTTATAAATAAACTTCTATTCTATCTAATTTTTGGTGCGGATTGCTTATTTCTAATTTTTTAACTATTTTTTAATGCTTTTATATTTTTAATTTTATTATTAAATAATGAAAATCGTATTATTTTTGTAACCCGCACCAAATTATTGAAATTTCAACCCTTTCTGTATAAAAAAATCAGAAAATTGTTTGCTGCACCTTTAGCTATGTTATGAAATATGTTTTCAAACTTGGCTAGTTTAGAAACAAATTTTTCTAGTTTAATGCTTAAAAACATTGTTTACATTTCAAAACAATTACGCAACCTTAAATTTTGTACGTCCCAAGCAAATATGTTTTAATATTTATGAAAGCAACTTTCTTAGCAAGACGAATTTTGAAGTATAAAATAAACAAAGTAAGCCGGGTTTTTTCTTTAGAATATATATCTTTAGCATAAATCTATTATCAACTGGGTGTTCAAAGATCGTTTCCTACTTAAAGAACTTATTAATTGATCAACTCTTTATAAAAAGTTTTTTATGAGAATAAAAACACATCAAACAATTTAAATTACCTATTTGTATATTTACAAAAACGTTTTTTTATTTGTGAGAAAAGATTGATTCGAGTGCCATAAAATAATTTTATTACCAAAAACGAGGTTAATTCAAAAACATTAACTCAGTTTTGGTCATGAATTATTTTATTAGAGTCTTTATTTATTAACAACCTAACACTATATGATTAAAGCCGTATGGATAAAAAAGAATTGCTTAAGTTTTTTAAAGGCTTTAGCTTAAAATGTTAAGACTAAATATTTCAAATTTGAAATCTGGTTTTATTTTATAATGCATTGAATTTAAAAAATTAGTGAACTGTTTTCTAAAACAAGAACTTCTAGATTTAAAAACGTGCTCATTTAACAGTTAATCCCCCCTTTAACAACATTTTTCATAATTTTGCAAAAAAAGCGGTTTGCTTGCAGACATCAATTACCTTAAACAATTAAGAAAGATTTTTTTTTTGATTTTTAGTTAAACAATGAGTGTGTTTGATAATAGCTATCAGAAATATATTTTTCTGATTTTTTTTGTTAATAAAAAGTAACAACAAATGATTAAAATTTAACCAAGTTCATCATTTGTCGCGCTTTTAATAAACTATAGGGAGTTTTTTTTAGGGGCGGGAGTTAAGGTTAGTTTTAGTCTAACTAAAGATACTTAACTAAATTTTTAGTCTAACTAAAATTAGTTAACTAACTTTTTAGTTAACTAAAATTAGTCGACTAACTTATTAGTTAACTAAAATTACGCGACTAACTTTTTAGTTAACTAAAATTACCCGACTAACTTTTTAGTTAACTAAAATTACCCGACTAACTTTCTAGTTAACTAAAGTTACCCGACTAACTTTCTAGCTAACTAAAATTACCTGATTAACTTTTTAGCTAACTAAAATTAAGCGACTAACTTTTTAGTCTAACTAAAATTAGTCGACTAGATATTTAGTGTAACTAAATTTAGTCGACTAAAGCAAGATTTGGCGCTTGAAAAAAGAAATAATCTTTCGCCTGAAAATTTTACACACGAGGAAGCATTATTAAGGCGATAAATATTATTTTTTTGAAAATAAACACTTTACTAGTTGTGAATCCTAGAGCCCAGTCGAACTAAACTGTTATTTAAAAGAAATGTTTTAAGCTAAATTCGAATATTCTAATTTTTTCCCAGCTCTGAGACAACTGCCTATGAAGTTGTTGCAACTGTTTATAAACACCCAATCAGCATAGAATATACAAATAATGCCCTTTAGTCAATTACATCAAATTTGGTACGCTTATTGAACGTTTAACTTATATTTTTTATGTGCTGCTTCTTATAGGAAGTGTGCAATAACAATCGCAAATCAAAAATAATTTCTCCTGCCAAGGCCGTACCTACGTGAGTATGGGCACCTTACCGGGGTTACAACATTCTGTCGGTTTTGTCGGTAATTTAGAAAATTTGAGACTCAATCGGTTAAAACTGCAACTTGGCTTTTAAATAAAAAAAGCCCTACTTTGGTGAGATTTTTATGGTAAAAAAGCTTATTTCATTTGCACCCCCTCCCCCTACGTCTTCGTTGTTCAGTACAGCCCTGTCCCCTGCTGTATTATAGGAATAGATTCAATCTCTAATTTTCACAACAAATCTACGACTCCCCCTCCCCACCTCTTCAAATATCAACCTCTCCTAACGGTTATTACAACCCGCAAACACTATAGTAAGGCAGGCGAAAGTATTGACATGAACCCAAAAGAAAATCGTTAAATAAGTTATTATGAATTTATTATTTTTGCTTTCAGAGTATAGTTGTTCGTCGGTTGGCGATACCTGCAAAATTTGAAAGAAAAATTGGTATTTGCATTTTTGAATGCAATATCCGCAATATAAGTTGTTGAATAGTGTATAAAATGTATTAAATAATACTTAACTGTTGAATATCAAAAACATTTTATTAAGTAACTGCGGTCGCTTTTAAAACCAGGAAATTGTTTATGACATTTTAATTACTTGAAAAATGCAATACGTAGTTTTTAAGCACTTTAAAATACGTGTAAAACCGGGTCGAAACAATTATAAATTAAAATTCAATAACTTTTTTATTATATTTATTTTTATATTTTTTCATTAGATAGATGTTTAAAAAAATACTAAAGAATATATAAATAAATATAAAATAAAAAACAACCAAACTATTAAATTAATAAAGGTAAAAAAGTTTGCTGTTTTAGGCAACATTTTAATAAAACTGCACGCTCAAGAACATTAAAATCACACATTAATTTTTTTAATTTTTAATTTTATCTTTATCTTTTTTTTTTTAACACATTTTAAATTTAAAAAACTATATTAATTTTTTAATTTTTTGTATCAAAAAAAAAAAAAATCAGTTTTACTCAAAAGAGTTCGAATACTAAATTTAATAATATTTCTTTTAGAAAAATAAATATAATAAAAAATATTTATTACAAGAAAAAACTTTAGTATTATATTTAATGAATTTAAACTAAATTAAAAAATTCCAAATTTTCGTACAAAAACATAAATATTTGAAAACATTCAGTTGTTATTCTGTTTTGTTTTGCATACGTAAGTATAAGTTTGCATACGTTTCGCTTTGCATGCATAAGTGTTTAATGCCTCAGAGAAAAGGTGTCCACTTAGTGCACTGGTAGCAGGCGTACAGAAAATCATTGTTGAAATACAATACATTATTGGGTATACATGTTAATTTTGATACCAAAAGTGTAAAAACATTTTGCTCATTTAGTGACATTTTTATATAACCACTAATTTCTCTTTTTAAGTCTAAACTTATTACTTTGTCACTATCGTTTCTGAAAATATCATCTTCATCGTCAAATGATTACTTAAATTTTTTTAATTTGTTTGTCACCTTTTTAAATAGAATTATATCACAAACTTTTTTTGTTTAATGAAATTTCGACAAAAATTCTCTAACACATTTAAAAAATTTTTTTCCCTTGTACTTTTCAAAGAATTGAAAACTTTTATAATTTGGATTCAAAAGAGTGGCACATAATAAAACTAAGTAATTGTAATATACTGTAGCTTACAGGGCCGGCACAAGCAGGTAACACGTAGAGAGTGCCGTTAAAATTCTACTTACTAGAAATAGGAAAAAAAAATTCTTGTTTTTATTTACCAATTGACTGTTCTGAAAATCTACATTTGCCAACTTACTTATCTAAAAGAGTCAAATTGGCTTACTAAAAGTTCATTGATGGGATGTCACACACGAAACCAACCAATCCATCCTTACACCACCTTGCGTTGGCCTTAGTGGCTTATTCAATTCTATAGATATATGTGTTTTACTATATTTACTTTTTGGATTTTCTATGAAAAATTTTCTTAAAGTATCTTGTTTATAATATTTTAATTAAGTAAATTATTTTGATATTTTTTTATTTTTGCGGTATTAGGCGATAAAATGATTATGCATTCGCAATCTTATTCAAAAATTCTAATAGAAATGATGTCATGTACCCAAATTATTTATATTATATATTTATAAAATTCTTTAGTTGGACTTAAAACAAAGTCGCGTATATTTAGTTAACAAAAAGCTTAGTCGGTTAATTTTAGTTAACTAAAAAGTTAGTCTGGTAATTTTAGTTAACTTAAAAGTTAGTCGATTGATTTTAGTTAACTTAAATGTTAGTCGGGTAATTTTAGTTAACTAAAAAGTTAGTCGGGTAATTTTAGTTAACTAAAAAGTTAGTCGATTAATTTAAGTTAACTAAAAAGTTAGTTGGGTAATTTTAGTTAACTAAAAAGTTAGCCGCGTAATTTTAGTTAACTAAAAAGTTAGTCGACTGATTATAGTTAACTAAAAAGTTAGTCAACTAATTTTAGTTACGGTATTTTTAGTTTAGTTAGTTACAATTTTTAGTTTTGGTCACAACACTAGTTTTTTTACTATTGTATCAAATGTGGTATGATAAAACATTTTGTTTTTGTTTTTATTCCTTTTACAAAAAAAAATTATCTCAAATATTTTAAAAGTTATAAATGTTTTAGTAACACCCACTAAGTCAAAATTAAAAAAAAAAAAACAAGAAGCCGTAAAGCTCACTATGAAACAGCCGTGTTTAATACTAATTAAGTTTATCAAAAAAATTGTTTTCACTAATTTTTATTTTATTTTTATAAGACTTACCTGCTTGCTCTTCTGATGTTCCAAATGACTTAAAAGACAATAAAAACAGCAATCACTTGATAAAATTATTACTTAATAAAATTATACATTTAAAAAAATCAGTTATGCTATAATAAATTTACAAAAAAAATATTAAACAAGAAATACTATAACAAAATATAAAAACTAATTTTTAAGGGTTAGCAGAGTCATAATGTAAACAAAATCCAAGTAAAAAACCCATCAAAAAAAACTTTATTTTATAATATTTTTTTTGCATTTTGTAAAAATAATGAATATGAAAATAATCTTACATGAAAAATGATAACAAAGTTTGAAATGTCAAATGTCATACGCCTGCACAATAAAAAAATTGGTTTAAAAATCTACCCTTTTAAAACTTATAATAAAGTATAATGTTTTACCTTTTAAGTTAGATAATTATACCTTTAAGGTAGAGAGTTGCATAAAAGTTCATTGCTTTTAATATAATTTTCTAGCTTAAAAGGTTGCAAATTATACCTTATATTACATATTTTACTCTAAGTAGAAACTTTTACCATTTTTTTTGTGTGTAATTTTTTTTGTATGTTCTAATAAACTTTTGAATAGTTCTAACGCATCGATTTAAAAAATGGAGATAGCAATTGGTCTTAAAGCCAATTTACGTTTGCAAACCTCTCTGTAATCTGGATACTAAAGAAAGTTTTTATAATAGTTCCTTGTCTAATTTTTTGACGTTGTTGATAAATTAAATTGGAATCCAAGGTAAACTATAATGGTTCTTCGATTTCTTACTCTTTTTTTTTGTCATATCAAAGTTTTTTTAAATTTAGGTGGCCAAACATGGACTACTGTACAATTCATTCGAAAAATAAAGTTAAATTGCGTTTCATTTGCTAACGTGCAGCAAAACTAGCTGCTTGCAATATCAGAGAAGGTTTGTGAGAGTTATTCCAAAATAATTTTGATGTTTATAATATATTTGCCTGATTTTTGGATAATGATTAATTTTTCCAGAAGATCTTGATTGAGTTGACTGACTAGAAAAATGTTGATAGAATCGGACAATTAAACAATGTAACTTCTTCAAATAAATCTAAATTATTACTGGTAAATCTGTCCATTGTTCTTTGTTGTTTTAGCTATTTTTCCTCAAAAAAACCTGCCAAAGAACATTTTTTTTCAACATTATTTACACTGACTTTTATTTGATCATTTCTAAATATTTGAATGACGTGATCATATACATTTGATTTTTTTTATTTTTTTTTTTTTTTGCAGCCAAACAATAAGTAAACTCTCAATATAATATTTAGAACATCGCATCAATAAAAACAAATACATAAATATATTTAATGGTGGGAACTTTGAACAAGTTTTATAAATTTCAAAATATTTCTAAACATTAACTAAATTTTACCAACAAATGTGGAATGATTTTGCATCTTGAACGTCTTTTTTGGAACCAAAATGATTATTTTAGACTAGCGTAGTACATTTAAATTCACTTTTTCAGAAGGCGTCTTTCTGAAAGGATATTAGTTTAGGTTTTGCAACATTAAATTGTGAATAAAATCCACTATAAATTAGTTATGTAACAGACCAACCGTAAGGCGTATTACGGGTTGCTTTTTGCTTGTAACAACTAAACGTTGATCTTTTCAAGCGTTTTTATTTTAGGTAAAGGATTTAATTAAATGTAGCTATCGTTAAAAATAATCGCATTTTGTGTAATTTAAATATGTTAATTTTTTATGGTAAGTCTGTCATTTTTATAATAAATTCAAACATTTGAAACTACTTTTCATGTCTTTCTGAAAATATTTTATGATTACTTTTTCTAAATACTATATATTAACTGTGATTAAGTTTAGTTAAAATCTTTTCGTTGCAACGGAAAAATTTATTTGCTTTTTTTTTTTTTCTTTATATTTTTACAAAAGAATTGTTTAAATGCTTTTGACCTTTGTAAATTACACTGGCAAGCCAAGTCAAAAAAATTACAACACATGTAATGATTAAAAATTACTATTTTAAAATGACTATATTTTAAAATAGTAGTATTTATTATTTAAATTTTCCCTTCTTTTTTTTTGTTGCAACTTTAAAAAAAAAATGTTTTTATAATTTAAAAATATTATATTTTTTTTATTTCAATAATTTAGTTTCAATTTCATTAGTAGATAAAATACAGTAAATTAATTGTAAATGAAATTGATTAAATTTCGCTTTGAGTTTCAGTTTTGTTTTAAAGCTTATTTACTTTCTTTTTTGCAAGGAATTGTTTTCTTTATATTTTTTTTATATAGTTTCAAGACATAAAAAAAAAAATTAAAAACGCTAAGCTAAACTGTTTAGCTTAGCGTTTCTATTTCAGCGCTTTTCTTAAATGTTTTAATCATCAAAACATCTAAACAGTTGTGATCAAGTTGTCAACAAAAAATTTCATTTACGTGGTCAGCATTAGGGTTCGATCGCACGCCATCCCTTTCCTAGCTTGATGATAGCAAACAAAAATGTTGAAAAGAGAATATAAAAAATTTGAAAGAAAATTTTACTTTATTGAAATTAGAACTAATTGAAATTAAGTATAACAAATACTAAACTAAGTACAGGGGTATGAACTTAAACGATGGTTAGTACGCATAAAAGCAACTCTGGACGTCATATTATTTATGCTTGCATAACCAAAAAGAAACTCATTTATGAACTTGAAAGGCTTATTTTTTAATTTTTTTAATTTTTTAATTTTTCGGAAAGAGCTGAAATAAAAACTTTTATTTTACTTTATTTTTTTTTCATCAAAGTAAAACAAGTTTTAAAAACATATGTCAAAAGCTCAAAATGTTTCTAAAGTATTTGTATTAAATCATATGCAGAAATAAATAGTGTAAAATATTTTAATTACTAAAACGGCTTGCTTTTTTAATACTTGATTTCCTTGTTGTTTTCTTAAATTATTAAAAAAATATTATTTAGAAAAAAGTTATTATTTAGGTCTGTACAACTACTTAACAAACCTTAAAACTATCTATATACAATTCAACTACAATCTAATCAAAATATACTTGTACCAAGTCTAAGCTAGAAATAAAAAATTTAAACTTATTAAATCAAATCAATATCTTTTAATGTCCTCAAGCACAATGAGGTTATCTGCAAATAAACATGATTAAACACAAAAAAGATCACTGTATTCAAATGACTTGAAGTGATTGAATTATCGTATCTCTATATTATTTTTTTTCTAAATGTAAGTAACTGTTTTTATGACAAATTTTATCTTCATTAAAGTTTATATTACACTAAGTGTTAATAAACTTTATTAAAAACACTTAGTGTAACATAAAAAACGTTAATTTTCATGAGTCAAGAAAATAATATTTATTGTTTGATCTTGGTTCATGAAAATGACAAATATTAGTTTTAATAAATCATCATATCAATAGCAAACACTTGGCATCAGTTTAAAATTTCTTTCACTATAATGAGAAAAAATAAGATGAAACATCCTTATTGGTAACGATAGACCTTTATTATAACAAAAAATTTTCAAAGATAAGAGCTAGTTTTGGCGCTCTAGAAAAAACCCTTTTTACTGCTGGTATAAGGAACTATCTTGGAGGAGATATTGAACTGGTAAGGCTAGGCAGTTACAAATTCTTAGCATAGTAAGGAGGACAGCTACCCAATGATTAAATTGATTTAATGGCTAGTAAGATGTTAGCTGTACATTTTATTGATAAAATTGTAAATTAGATTAAGGAGAAAAAAATACAAATAAATACAGCAAACAGAAATAACTGAATTTTATACAAAAGTTTTAATAATTTCTAAGATAAAAGAGTTTGTAACTAATCCACTAAAACATACAATCTAACATAGGTATGTAACAATAAAGTAAATATTATCAATTTTTAAAGAAAAATAAATCAAATATTGAAACACTTAAGGAATGCTTGTAGCAACTTTGTAAAGTTAAAGAAATTTTAGAATTTTCACATATATCTATCTGACGTAATGCAAAGTTTATGGTCAATGCAATATACTTCATAATGCTCGATATGAAATTCACAGTCTGCAAATATGTGAATGCATGTGATCCCATGGCTAGTGTTTATTGTTGCAATTTATTACCAGCTTTCCTCAAATGCAGCAAAGCGGAACATGTTGTTCTCAATGATTTAAATGAATTCAAACATGCTAAATCAATTCAAAACAATAGATTCATGAAGATGGCAACTCACTTTTGAAAAGCTTGTGTAAACACATGCTCTTTTTACAAAAGCAGACATTTTTTACATAAGCAGACACGTTCCATCTCCTAAAGTGATACAGAACTGAAAGCAGATGCTAAGTATTGACCTATTAAAAAACTTACAAAATTTCTAATTTCTGAGTTGCTAGAGACTTCTGTAGAAGCTCATTCTGTTATTGTTTCTAGAGACTGTAGATTAAAGATTTTAACTTCAAAAAAGATTTGGTTATTTTTTATTTTCACAGAATATTCCAAATATGTTTAATGTTAATGTTAATGGTATTTTTCAAGTGGTTTTTTTGCACTAGAAATCAAAACACTTGAACATTCATTGGTCCATTCAAAAAGGTTTTCAAAAGTATGTTTTATTTCAAAGAAAACAAAATTTGTAATCATTAAAATAACTTTATTAATGTAACTTTTTTATTAAAGATGTATATTTAACTATATATATATATATATATATATATATACATATATATATATATATATATATATATATATATATATATATATATATATATATATATATATATATATATATATATATATATATATATATATATATATATATATATATATATATATACACAAATGTGTTTAAATCTGTATTTAACATACCTTCACAAGATGTGGAAGATAACTGAAAACAGATGCAGTTGTTGCTGACTCCAGAAACTAAGTTATAAAAATAAAAAAAAAAATACATTATTTAAGTTATTATGTAATCTATTTTGAGTATTTAAAATTTTTTAGCTCAAATCATTTATTAACAACATCTTATATGTCATCATGATGATTGTCAAAAAGAATTAAAATTGCTAACTTGATCTTTAAAGAGAAATTTATGAAAACTTATTATATTACCAATAATACTTATTTTGTTAAGTACTTTATAAATGATAAGAAGATTTTTTGATATTTTTAAACCCAGCCAAAATTGACAGACGGACACCGTATTGTTTTTGTCTCCGTTTACGGGAACGGGATTTTGACGGGTAGGTGTTTGGTTTCGGACGGGCCCCGTATGGTAAAAAAATCAAGCAAATTAGCTAAATTGGATTTTATCTAGTTTTCATCAGGGCCGAAGAATCTGTTTTCTGGTTTCTCAAAGCTTTAAATTGATAATTTAAAAAAAAATCACAAAACTTATTTTATGGTTGCCATTTACAATTCGCATTGTGGATAAAATAGATTTAACTTTTATGCATTATATTATTTGTATACATTATATTTACAATGTAATTAAAAAAAAAAATTTTGTCGGTGTATTTATTCACTGTGAAACTCAATTAAAAAGACGTTGTTTCAGATTTTCATTTTTTTATTACCATTATAAAAGGAGTTTTTTATATTTTTTAAAATAAGTTTACAAAAGCAATTTTAAGAGAGAACTTCATTTGCTAATTTTTAAAAACGACCTTATAGTAGTATAATTAGGTTTACGACAACTAAAATGTTCCTTGATCTGGTTTAATTGTAATGAATAAAGTTTCAAAAAGTAAAACAGAAATATTGGATTGGCCAAGCAAATCGACTACATCTCTTCGACAATGAAACGCACCATTATCTAATACTAGCATAGGAATTTGTTTAGATATACGGTCTTAAACTGTTGGATATAAAACCTCAAATTAGATTTTCATTATAGGCATAATCCATTATTTATAGCTTGGAATACCATTAACATTTAAAGTGGCCATTATACTTACATTCTTTCCACGGTTTGTGGAAAAAATGTAAGTCTAATGGCTGTAAGTGAATGTAAGTCGATATCGTTCGTATAGGTGCATAAATATTTTTTTTAACAAGAATTTTTTTCATTGATGCTCAAGTATGATATGGATCATTTTCAAGAAGCAGTTGAATTTAAAAATAAGGTATCTCGTTGTAAGAGCAGCGCCCTCCTATTTTAACTGATGAAATTTCATCATCACTGAGTTTTTCACTGATTTTATTAAAAATTGAACGTGTCTTAAAAATTGATATTTCAACTTTTTCTGCAATTTCTTTTAACTTCTTTAAGAATCGACTTTCTTATGGTTCTTTCAAGTTCCTATGTAATAATTATTCTCTTTTTTATTTCTCTCTCATTCTCAAAAGGCATGGTTGCTTATGTATTGCCTTTAAAATGTTTTCTCTGGATTAAAAAAAGCATTTATTTACTATGGATATAGTAACTTTTTTATTTTTCATTGTACTTAAGATGAAACTAAAATTATAACGAACGTTATTCACAATATTCAATTTAAATATTTTATAAATATAAAACTTTTATTCTAAACAAAAATGTTTGATTACAAACTTAGAACTATGATATAAAGTGTGACAATAGTCTCGAAAAAATTGTCCTTTTAAGGTACTTGCAACCAGTGCCGTAGCAAGTGCCCCCCCCCCCCCAAAAAAAAAAAAAAAAACTAGGAATTTGGGCCCTAATTTTTTATTTATTCTTTTTAAAAAAGCGGATAAAATTTACAGACTACCCAAAAAAGCATGGTATCTGAACGTCGCCGTTCATAAGACTAAAAACAATCAAATTAACGCATAAATTCAACTAAATATATTTTATAATTGTTAAATTGATATAGAGTTTACTACTTTAGAATTTTTTTAAATACAGTTAATATATTACGCAGATAATACAAGTACGTCGCAAACTATTAAAAAAAAGGTTTGCGACTATTTTTATGCTTGCAAACTCATTTATTATGCCTTATAACTTAATTTCCTTGCAACCTCAAGTTCAATCGACAGCGTTGCTAAAGAAGACAAACGTTCATCGACCATTGTTGACCTATTTAAAGATACAAAGAAATATAGCTACATGTGTTTATGTGTAATGAAGCAAGATTGTTTAAACTAACCCATGAAAAGTTTTCATTAGTTTTAACTTGCTAAAGCTGCGTTCTACACTTGCAACAGTAACTGATAAAGTAGGAATGAATCCTAATTCAACAATTAGATTGGGATAAGTTTCTTGCAGCTCTTTTTTAAAGCATTTATTTCACCTTTTTAACTTTAATGTCAAATCATTTTAACTCCATTTCTAAATCCTCAAAGTCTATATCACCAAGCTTCATTTGCAAACTTTTGCAATTTATAGACAAAGAATTTTTATTACAGGCTTTCATAAGACTTTCAAATTGGTAAAGAAAGTCATTAAGCTTTGTGACAATGCTGATCTGTTCAAAACGCTTTTTTACTGATGCAATTGACATACCAATTAATGGGAAAAAAAAAAGCTTTATACTGATATTCAGGTTGCGGAGTGTGATCAATACACTCTTTGTGAATAAATCGACATTTTTTTTTTTTTTCGTAAACGTACTATTGGTAAAACCTTTTCAATGCCCAATACTTTTGCGACTTCTGATGCCTTAATACGTGCGTCGGAAAATCCGTTTTTGCGATACTCATAAAGAAATGATTTGTTGCCTTTACTTCACAAGCTAAAATGTAGCTAATACGAGAAAGGTTGCAGAAGACTGAAAAACCTTACTTGATTTGTTGATTTTAAATAAAACATCATGTTATAATATATTCCGTGAGCGATCGTACTTCTGTGGCTGTAGCCCTATCTTTCTTTTAAGCCATATTCTTCCAAACTTTCAAGTGTCTCCAAGATTTATTTTAAATAACAGTTAAGTTGTTTAACACAGTTTATTCTACTTTCCTATCTGGTATTTGATTGTGGTTAGACAGAAATAGCCACGCACAATTTTAAAATTTCCCATCGAGGAGGTGAAAATGAAAGATAGATTACCAATGCTCGTTTGTTCTTAATGCAAAATACATGGCGCACAATCTAAAATAATAGAATAATTATTTGCTTTTTTTACTTTGGACAAGTTTTTGGATTCAATCTCCTCTTAAAACCTTGTTCTGTGTGTCATTGCTCAAATAGTGCTCCTTGGTTTCTTTGTCCTAAATTCTTTGCATAAGCTCATTAAGAACGGTATCGTACTTAGTAACCTTAGTACCAGTAATTTAAACACCCCAAGAAAGTTTCCATTGCTCTTTGAACCAATGGCTGTGTCTGAATCACGGAATTCAAGATTTCTTGCAGAAAGAAATAAGGTAATGTTAAGTATCCTTTTCTAACACTGCACTGCATAGACGAGCAGCTTTTTTGTTGCTCATCTATGGTAGCTTGATTTGCAATGCCTGCATTATCAAAATTGAGGGGAAAAAATTATTAAGGAAAAAAAATTAACAAAGCAATAAGTTAAAGAAATATGAGTTAACATTTTCGTTAAGTCATACAGTGTTCAAAGTACTTAAAATGTGCACATCATGTTTTGTGTTCTTTAAGTTTTTTTGATAAGCCTTTGCAAGTGTTCATTACTTGTCGGATTGGTGAAGAAGTTATCCTAAAAAGTTTGCAACAAAAACAAAACAGTTTATTGCTACACAAAGAATACACGAGCCATGTCCGTTCAAAGATTTCATCTTGCTTTATAATAATTCAGTGAAAATCGTCTTCTTTCTAAATTATCTCAAAAATTAATTTTAATCTTTTTAAAACCATGTTTACACATCACACCTCTGTGCATCAGAAAAATCATCAGGCAACTCAGAAGAATCATCACAGAGAAAAATAGACGGAATTGTTATGCCACTTGATGTAGACACATATCAACCTATCTGACTCTAGTATTCAAATAATGACAATAAGAATTATTTGTAGTTTCTATTGGTGTCGAAACACTTCCAGGCTAAACTACTGGTTTCAAAAATTGATTTAGTTTGGGGTATTTTGTGATTTCCTCCCAGGCTGCACCTTTTTCTATACTCTTAGTCACACTACTTTTCACTTTTTTCATACCAATATTTATATTGCGAAAAACTAACGAAAGATGTATATAAATTTTTGCAAACCTTCTTTCATTGTTTGTTTTTTATGATACAAACCTTCTTTCATTGTTTATTTTTTATGATACAAAAAACTAACAACGCATAATGATAATAAAAAAAATCAATTCGAAATTGCAAAATAAAAAGAATAAATTTATAAAGCTTGCGTTTTATAATATAATTCGGACCTCAGGAATGTTAATTCTTTCTTGCATTAAAAATGTAATTGCTTTTTTTGCGCTTGTACAAATTAGGTAATATTGTGGCTAAAAGGCCCAGTTTTTTTATTAATAGTAACAGTAACTATATATATTTAAATATTTTTATTATAAAAAATACAAATTTTTTTTTTTTATTTTTGAAAAGGGCCCTTTAAAAATGCTGGGCTTCCCCCCCCCCTCCCCATTGGAGTGTGTGGGGGAGCCTAGCCACGGCTCTGCTTGCAACTACCAACTAACTGATTACCCTCAATCTTTTTTTGTATTTTTATAGTTCTTCTTTTATGGTTGTTTTTTGCTATAAATAAATCTCATAAATTCCAAAGCTTTATGGAGTAATTTCCTAATTTAATATTTTAAATTTTAAATACAAAACATTTAATTAACTAATCATATATTTTATATTTTCTTAAAAAAACCAAGCACATTTGTCAAAATGTATAAAACTATGAACTTTATTATCAAGGGCAATAATAAAAGGTTATATATATTCAAAATTTTTCAAAACAAACATAAACAAATGAAACAACCTTTCCCTAATAAAGTTGTTTTTGACTTGCTTATTACTTTTAACACGAAAAACAATGTTTGGTTAAATTCAAATTT